ATCGATTTATTAAACGGTCGTGAAATTCGAGCTCCTATCTTATCGCATCGAGCATTCAACCTCGGCTTGCTCTCTCTTTCCCTCGGCTTTTCAGGATTGCCACGGATAGGCAGGCCATGGTGGTTGACTGCTATCGTCTTGATAGCGGAAGATCGTCTTGAGATATTCGTTTCACGAGGCACTTTTAGGATTGGGAGATCAAGGATGCCGTTGGTCTTTTGGAGTTACTTTATCGCCAGGAGATCATGAGTGGAGATTCTGACGGATGGTTATTGGTCCTTGCTTCTGATGTAGGACAAAGGACAGGCTCAAATAGAAGAAAGTAATTAAGAGTTAGGGGCTGGAAATTCAGAAACAAAGATAAGATTCAGGGGTTGTTAGTAGAAAAGAAGGATCGAAAATAACAAAGAAAAGCCTATTGGAATCACTCCAATAGGACCTAGGTATCACACTTAGAGAAGGCCTCACACCCTCAGAATTTGTGAATCACTCACAAAGAAATCTCAAAGGATAATTTTATTCAATCATTCGCTAAGTATTCAGAGTTACATAGTATCCTTTTTATAATAAAAGATGACCCTTGGATTACCCTACAATGGAGATAATCAAAAGTTGACTCTAACTTAATAAAGTAACAAATAACTTAATTGATGCCATTTAATCTAATTATGCAATTTACCAAAACAATTTAGATTTTCCATAATTAATGCAATTATCAAAATAATGAAATTTGACCAAACCCCCTAATAATGCAATTTACCAAAATGATGCAGATTCACCATAATTAATGCAATTACCAAACTAATGCAATTTGACCAAACCCCCTAATTATGCAAGACTCCAAGTGGACCCCATCGTCTAGCATGTGCCAAATAAAGGTTTGAGCTCTAGAATCCTTCTTGCCATGCCTTTTAAATACTTTAAAAGGCTGATGCCACTGTTCTCTACCAATTCTATCCGGCTTGGAAAAACTCGGCTCCGACGAGTTAAAGGGATGAAATTGCTCATAAGTATGAAAAGAGCAAGAAAATTTCAGCCTTGTATTCAACAATTTCCATAATTTGCACCAGAAAAACAATGCATAAACTTCAAAGCTCGATTAGAAATAATAGTGTTGTGCAACCCATGAAGTCGGACAACTTCTTGAAAAAAAGGTTTGGCATCGTGGACAGCATTGGAGGTCATAGAACATAAAAGAAAATGCGCCTTTTTCGAAAAAAGATCCAGAACAATGGTTATAGCATCATGTCCTCGACTAGTTCGAGGCAACCCCATAACAAAATTAGCATCTGACCCATCACCTCTGATACGAACTCCATGGCCAGTACCATGTCGAAACTCAAGGCTATCCTTCCATGAATGTATTCGAGCAAGAACTTAAAGAGCAAACCAGTTGGTTCCATCTAGGTACTGTGCTCCAGAATCGAATAGACAAATGCTGTTTGGATCAAGTCCTAAACATGTTTTCTCCTCTAGTTTATAATGCATAATTGCTGCATTAGGACCAACTGAGGAAATAGTAGGAAAACTTAACCCTCTAAAATGATCTTTTGATGCACGAGACCCCTCTAGCTTATCACTTACAGGATTAGTTTCTTCTGGCAGTTGGTCTTTCCAGACCTCATCTACCAAGTTGGTGGATATCTGAACCAGCTTCTGTTACTTCTTGGCACAAGCATGCTCCCATTTCTTTGCAGTGCCCACTAATATACACCAAGTATCTACTCCAATAGCCGCATCTTTTGGAAGATTCAGAATAGAAGTACTATCTATCCTAGACGTTTTGAATGGTTGTGGATATGGTTTGTTAGAAATTTTGAGACGCCTAACCATTGCTGAGGAGACAACATTTGGGCTGCCACCGCCATCAATAGTAGCTACCGAGCTTGATTTTCACAATGAACTTGCATCTAAAAATGAGAGGTCTGTTGCCCATCTTTGCCACCAACTTTAGGGTCTTCAAGGATGCGCGTCACAATGGAGATGGACGAAACAATCTCTCCAACTTCTTTCACATGATCAGTGTTGCAGGTCTCATCATCAAGCAGGTTCTCACAATCCTTGTTAACCATATTACTCTTTCCTTCAGGATCAGCCATGTCAGATAAAGATGGTTTCGATCCATCATTTGGCTGCATTGTTGTTGTTTGTGTGCGGTGAGTTCCATCACGTAACTTCTTTGTAATATCTCCAGTAACATTATGTGGCTTATGATGATTCATCTCTAATGGATTTCTTGGAAACTCCAACATGGGATGGAGTGGTTGATCAACCTTCAAATTACACCTTTGCAGAGTGTGTAAAGGCTGTTGTTGCTTGCGGTTTCTGCCATCATTAGTACCTAATGCATATTCTTCTTTAAGGGGTACCGATTTGTTAAAAGGCTGGGGAATTCGAGCCCCTATCCTATCGCATTGAGCATTCAGCCTTTAAGCTTTTCCAAAATTTGTAACAGCAACTCAGTCTTCTGATTATTGTCCAATCTTTCATTGGCCGATTGAGTAAACATAATGTCTACTTAGGTTCTGATACCAAAACTGATGTAGGACAAAGGACAGGCTCAAATAGAAGAAAGTAATTAAGAGTTATGGGCTGGAAATTCAGAAACTAAGCTAAGATTCAGGGGTTGTTAGTAGAAAAGAAGGATTGAAATTAACAAAAAAAAGCCTATTGGAATCACTCCAATAGGACCTAGGTATCACACCTAGAGAAGGCCTCATACCCTCAGAATTTGTGAATCACTCACAAAGAAATCTCAAAGGATAATTTTATTTAATCATTCGCTGAGTATTCAGAGTTACATAGTATCCTTTTTATAATAAAAGATGACCCTTGGATTACCCTACAATGGAGGTAATCAAAAGTTGACTCTAACTTAATAAAGTAACAAATAACTTAATTGATGCCATTTAATCTAATTATGCAATTTACCAAAACAATGTAGATTTTCCATAATTAATGCAATTACCAAAATAATGAATTTTGACCAAACCCCTTAATAATGCAATTTACCAAAATGATGCAGATTCACCATAATTAATGCAATTACCAAACTAATGCGATTTGACCAAACCCCCTAATTATGCAAGACTCCAAGTGGACCCCATCGTCTAGCATGCGCCAAATAAAGGTTTGAGCTCTAGAATCCTTCTTGCTACGCCTTTTAAATGCTTTAAAAGGCTGATGCCATTGTTCTCTACAAGCTTCTCAAGGTCACTTTGATGTTCGGTCCTTCTATAGATGTTTCATGGAGGGATTCAGGGTTCCATTCCTCTGGAAGGCTGTTTGGCGCTCCAAAGCCCCCTTAAAGGTGGCTTTCTTTGCTTGGACATCGGTTTTGGGGAAGATTTTGACTCGGGATAATTTGAGGAAAATGAATCAGGTTGTGGTCAATTGTTGCTACATGTGTCGTAGAGATGAGGAGACGGTGGATCACATTCTCTTGCATTGCACCATGGCTAGGGAGTGCTGGGATTTTATTCTTGGTTTGTTTGGTGTTCAGTGGGTTATGCCAAGGTCCTCTAGAGGGTTGATTGAGGCTTGGAGAGGTCGCTTAGTGGGGGCCCAAGTCCGGGATGTTTGGAGGGTTACGCCATTGTGTGTCTGGTGGTGTCTTTGGCTCGAAAGAAACAAGTGATCCTTTGAAGGAAAGGAGACTCCTATCTCCATGCTTAAGTTCTCTATTATTTCTACTCTTTTTTGTTGGGTTATGGGGAGAAATTTTAGATGACAAATAAGTGTTTATTAGTGTAGCACATGCAAGAGGGATTTGGAGATAGTGAATCATTTTCTTGCATTGCCCAGTGGCGAGGGAGGGTTGGAACTTACTCCTAGCCTTGTTTGGACTTTGGTGTGAGCTGGGTCATGGCATTTTCCACGGAGCATTCTTGGAGCTTGGAGAGGGTGTATTGTGGGAAGGCAAGATGCTTGGAGTGTTGAACCACTTTGTTTGTGGTGGGGTGATAGAGAACAGTGGCAGCAGCCTTTTAAAGTGTATAAAAGGCGTGGCACGGTGGGCTCTAAGGCTCAAGCCTTAATTTGGCACATGCTAGATGATGTGGGGTCCACTTGGAGTCTTGCATAATTGGAGGGTTCGGCCAAATTGCCTAGTTATGGTAAATTGCATCAATTATGATAAATTACATAGTTATGGGAAATTGCATCAATTATGGTCAAATTGCATTAGTCAGTGTCGGTTACTCTTATTATGCTTTAGAGTCAACTATTGATTACCTCAATAATGGGATAATCTAAGGGTCACAAGTTGCTATAAGAAGGGTATGAGGTAAACTTGGTGACTCGGTGAATGAATGAATGAATAAAGAATATCTTCTGAAATTGCTTTGTGAGTGATTCACAAGATATGAGGGTGTGAGGCCTTCTCTAGGTGTGATGCCTAGACCCTTTCTGTGATTCAAATCCCTTCTTCTCTCTACCAACACATCTTGAACCATAATCTGTTTCTCTGAATTTTTCAGCCCAAAATTCTTATTTATTTTCAACTATTTGAGGTTGTTCTTGTCCTACATCATGGGTCTACGATGGGAGAGGAATAAGAGGTTTTTGAAGGGGAGGAGACTTCTATTTGGCCATTCAAATTTTATGTACTTGGTTACTTTTTGTTTTTGTATTTGACTCATGGGGGTTTGTAAATCTACGGAGAATCTCGTATTTTTTGGATAGTTTGATGGTAGAGTGCCTTTTTGGTTTTTGTCAGTTGTATCTGGGTTGCCCCTTTGGAGTGCTATTCTATAAAATCTTTACTTAAAAAAATAAATAAATTTAATAATCCGTTTGACTGTGAGGTTTTGAACTCAAGACCTTGCCTGCTTTCACTACTCTAAAAGCTTAAGCTATAAGAGAGGGTGTGAATTGAATCAAAATATTTTTCTTCTATTCTATGTATTTGTCATCTTCTGATTGACCAACTTTTAATTTGCTTATATAGTTTTATATCTAGCACCTACTTTATTAATTTTTATTTTTAAAATTTTTCGTAGGTGCAGACTGATAAAGTAACTGTAGAGCCAACTCCAGTTTCATGGTGGGTTCTCTTACTTATTTGGGGATACTCATTTTTTTCCGATCTCGCTTTGTTGTTAAAAGAATTTTAAGTATTTGAGTTATTTTGTAATATTGTTTTAGGCCGCTTTTATCATTATGATGTTAATGTTATTTGCTATTGGAGATACCTCATTTGATTATTAATTGCCAAAAGTTTCCTCTTGAATGGTCAAAAGGTATGAACTGAAATGTTGTTTACCTGGATTGTTTTAACTCCCTACTATGTTTGTTTGGGGTTAGTTATGCTCACCATCCCTATGGTTTAACCTATACACAAAAATGCTGAGAACGGCCATCCTTAGTAGAGTTTGTGTGGGAATATGTGGTAATATTCTTGTAATAAGCATAATCAAGGGGATTGACAAGAATATTTAGTAAGGATAATAAGTGGGATTGCCTAGAATATTTAGTAAGCATAATCAGTGGGATTTGACCACAATTATTGTAATTCAAATCCCACAATTATTGTAATTACATTTCCTGAAGAATATAAATATATGGGTATAGAGATGTCAGAATTAACTTTCTACGACCCTTTTTTACATTCTACTCTGTCTTCTTCTTTCTTTCTCTTATGTTTCCTCTCCAAACCCTAATCATCCAAAACGCTATAATTCAACTGTTTACAACTTAGCTTGCCCATCAGTTCATTTACTATTTGATAATGACAAAATCAGTAAAAATGCAAGTCAATTTGAATTTAATGTTACATTTTATTCATTCTTTCTCCTCTGTTAATTTCAGTCTATACTTGATGACTGAACACATATTCGTCTCTCTCTCTCTCTTCAATCTCTTTTCTTCTGTTTTTGCCACCCAACCATCCACCCAGTCCTACGCCATCTCCGCTGCACACCACCTCCTCCCTTTCCAAACTCTAGAATCCAAAATCTGAGAAACCACAGGCCACCATTCTCACTCTCCCAACGCGGCACTGAGCTTGTCCTCAACTGCTGAATCGATCAGCCACATGAAGTCAATACCACCACTCACAATTAGTGCCACCCCATTCTTATTCCGCGTTAATCCTCCTAGCTTGGTATATTTTCTTGCTTAAACCCACAATAATAGAATGAAGAGCTACGCCCTCTGTGTTATGACCCTTTTTTTTTCCTGCTCGCGGGTCGTGGACCCTGTTTAGAACTCTTTTGTAGCCTGATCATATAAGGTGATTATGGTTTGGAGTGGATAACGTGAGAACACTAAAAATAGCAAGAAAGAGTGTGAGAGCAAGAGATAGGGTTTGGGTCACATAGGGAAATATTTCACCGGCTCTTCACCGTGGATGTAGGCACAACTTGTGTCTAACCATGTAAATCTTTGTGTCTTGCGTGGTGCTTATTTTTGTCGCGTTTCATGATTTTTTCTTGTTTTGCGGCTGCATGTCACAACAGTTAACATGGTTTCACAACAGGCAAGGTCCTGTGTTCAAGCCTCACCGTCACCTTGATAATTAAAATTGAAACACACGTTGGACCAAAAAGAAGGGCCACACGTGAGGGCGCATGTTGAAGGATTTAAATATTTAAGTTGCACTCTCTCTAACAACTTAAGCTTTTGGAGTAGATGGTTGTTAAAAAAAGGGGATGGTGAAGTTTTGTCAGTTCAGTAGTGTTGTTAGAAAAGAAAAGAATTAAGACAAAAGAACACTCATTATTTGTACAATAAATGCAATGGGAAACTCTTAACGTCAAACATCGAAGAACCACTTGAAGTTAGTGAATATGTTACTTTTTGCATTGATAATGACCTTGGATTGATCTGGACCCCAAAAATGGGCTTTGTGTGGGCCCAAGTCTGAAATCAACATGTTGAAGGCTCAGCTTAATGGTGAGTTTGAGATGAAGAATCTTCAGTATTGTGGTACTTGCGAAATTATTGTATTTGGCAAAGGAAATTCATTGGAACGCTTCAGTATGCAAGCATCAAAGCTGTGAGTACTCCATTGGCAGCCTACTTCAGACTTTTTGTAGGATTCTCACCATGGACTAAGGAGGTGGTGGAGCACACGTCTTGCATTCCTTATGCTAGTATCATGTATGCTATGGTGTGCAGTGGGCCGGACATTTCACATGTGGTTAGTGTATTGAGCAGATACGTGGATAGACCTTGGAAGGTCCATTGGCAGACTGTGAAAAGGATATTGCGGTACTTGCAAGGCACTGCAGATGTTGGTAGTCTATGATAGATGCAATGGCAATCCTGGGAGTGTTGTCGGGTTTGTTGATTCGGATTAGGTCGGATTTGGAGCATCTTCCTTCTCTTTACTATGCTAGAGATCTTGATAGGAGGAGGTACCTGGCAAGATATGTCTTCACTCTTTGTGGGAGTGTGATCAGTAGTTGGAAGGCAACTTTGTAGTCTGCAGTTGCATTGTTTACAACTGAGGTGGAGTTCATGGCAGCAACAAAGGCAGTGATGGAACCTATATGGCTGAAAGGTTTGGTCGGTGATCTCGTCTTGCCGCATGATGGTTTGACTGTGTTTTGTGACAGCCAAAATGCCATACATCTGACAAAAAATAGATGTTTCATGAGAGGGCCAAGCACATTAATGTCAGGTTGCACTTCATCAGAGATGTGATTGCATATGGTGTTATTGCAGTGATGAAGATTGGGACAACAGAGATACGATGTCTAAGGTAATTCCTACTATCAAGTTCAGACATTGTTTGGACTTGATTGGCGTTTGCAGTTGCTGAGGCCCTTAGGGGAATGTGACAGAGGTGAAAGGAGTAGCTAGTATTGTGGAGCTTGGCGAAATTCGAGCCAAGGTGGAGATTTGTGATGTTATGGCCCGAATTTTGTTTTGGCCCTGGTCGCTATGCGCCTTGGTTTCAAAGTGGAAAATGGGTTTTGTGAGGTTTCTCTGATATCACAAAACCCCTTGACTGCCTTTATACCTGGCAACATTATACTAACACTCTTATTTAATGAGGTAAAAGTTTGTGTAGTGGAACATTTGTGGATATATCTTGACAATAATTTGGGAGCTGTGAAGTTAAAAATTGTAGGATGAAATCAGGTTAGCTTTTATGGCAAGACTGTTGACAAATTCCACCTGTTTTGGTCTATTGTGCAAGAATCCAATGGTTTCTTTCTTTTGGATGGCATAACATGTATAAAGTTGAAGTTCCTGGAGGAAATTATAACTCAACCCTACTGTTCCCGGTGTTTGAGCCCGAGCTTTTCATCTTCTAGATTTTAATATTATCCCGCATAATTTTCTACTTCTGGACTTTCTTTTGATTGAAGGGGCTCTTGGTAGAAACTACAACTCCATGCACTGTTTTGGATCATCAGTGTATAATATAACATTAATTCTTTGTATTTTCTTCATTTTATATTCTCTAATCATGTTGCAAGAGCTTCTCCTATTTAAAAAAAAAGGCTTGAGTTATAATATTTTCTTCTGATTTTCTTGTGCTTAGGGGGAAGTTGGCTGGCACTGATTGGGAAATGGCCACCACGAATGATGGTAAACGATATTACTACAACACTAAAACAAAGGTAATGTTGATTAATTTATGCATTCCTTCTATTTGCTTTCTTTAGATGGATTCTATTGCATATATATATTTTTTTATTTTAATGAAAATCCATTTCATTTATACGTATTTAATGTAGAATCGACTTTGTTTGATAATGATTGTTTTCTACCTGATGTTCTTGTTACAAATTGTTTTAGTATGTTGTGGTTGTTATATATGACAGAGCTGGGTGCTGGGAGACTAACATAAAAGGGGAATAGATGCAATCTGAGATTCGAAACCAAAATCTCCAAGAATCAATATTTTAATTCTGTGTTAGATAACCAGTTACCGAAAAGCTTAAGTTGGTAAGGATTCGACCCAACATTTTACAATAGGCTCTCGAATTCTTTATCCAGCAGTCCTGTCTCATACGTGGAGAGAATAGAGACAAACAAATAGGTAGAAATGATAGGGTCCCTATTGTATAAATGAATTGAATTGTCTAAGGGGTGAGAACTTATAAACAAATAGACGTATAGACCACTATTTGTTATGGAATAAATCTTGCGATTTTTGTCATTTCTCACAAAATCCCTCACATAGTTAAAGGTGTGCCTAGGCTCCAAAAAAAAACCCCAGGCTCGTCAAAGCTCAGCTAGAGCGCCTCAACCTACTACAGCCAGGCCCCTTTAATCAGGCTCACATAAAGCGCTCAGGCTCATGCTTTTTAGTAGGCTCCAGGCTCAAAAAAGGCGCGCCTTGTAATCATTTATTTATATCATTTTATTTTTACTTAATGACTACTAAATTAAAAGGTTCTATACCATATATCGTATTGTTTAACCTTATGAAATATTTGACAAAATTCATAAATTTATGATTCACTACTTATATTAAGTGCAATTACTGCTTATGAATATATATAATAATATATTTTTAAATATGCATTATTATATACATGCACCTTATTTCGATCACGCTTGCGCCTTGTGCTTAGGCTCCAGAAGGCCTTTGGCGCCTTAGTGCGCCTTGAGCCTTTAACAACTATATTCCCTCATGCATCCCATCATTAAGGAGCGACTAGAGGTAGACAGATGGACATAATTGACGTGTACATACACGGTCGCTTAGGGGGAGATCAATATGTTACCCTCCTAAGTCCCTCCTCGGGGGGAGAGTCTACCCCACCCGCTTGATACTTCGATAGTTGCTTTGAAGCCCCCCTTGCTTAAGCGTCTGTTAGTACTTCATATGGGTTCGAGTCCTTCTGAGATGTCTACTAAAGATCAGAAATTGTTGAAGAGACAATAGGATCCTTGTATCCTGGTATATATATATTTATTTAGTGGAATATGGTAGAACATGCTGATTCCGTTCTGTTGAATATCTCCATGGAGTTAGATAGGTTTGAAAACGATTAATAAAACATTTCATTTATTAACTTTATCGACGTTGAATAATAGCTCAGCTACACTACCACTACTTTATAAAAACATATTTAATCGTTTTCCTTTATTTGGGAATAAAAAATAAAAAAAATCATTGATTTGGGGATGTCCTGACTTAAGTCATTTAGTCTTTGTTTACCCATTAGTATGTTTATGCTACTCTGAAATTGTATTAAATATGAAACAATATAGTACAAATGAATAAGTAGGGGCAAACCATAGTCGTTAAAGGCGGGCCTAGGCTCCAAAAAAGCCCCAGGTTCAGCAAGGCTCAACTAGAGTGCTTCACCTTACTACGGGCCAGGCTCCTTCAATCAGGCTCACATAAAGCCCTCAGGCTCACACTTTTTAGTAGGCTCCTGGCTCAAAAAGGGGCGCACCTTGTATTTTTTAATCATTTATTCTTATCATTTTCTTTTTTACTTGATGACTAGTAATTAATAGGTTCTATATCATATACGATATATCGTATTGTTTAACCTTATGAAATATTTGCAAAAGTTCATAAATTTATGGTTCACTAATTACATTAAATGCAATCACTGCTTGATTATGAATATATTTAATAATATATGTTTAAATATGCAGTATGTGCCTTACTTCGATTAGACTCGAGAAGCCCTTTGGCGCCTTAGTGCGCCTTGAGCCTTCAACAACTATGGGACAAACCCCTAAAACAAAACCCAGGCCCTAACTGAAGGGAACAAAATAGCAAAGCTAAATCAAGAAAATATCTTGGAGGCATACCCCCAAGAGATCCATCACTTCCCACAAAATGCATTTAACTAACTCACTAGACTCTCTGTGAATTGATGTATGTAACCTCTTATTCCTTTCCTCCAAAGAAAGAATATAGTGTCAGTAAACAACAACAAAAACATCTTGTTCTTGCCACCCTTTGCTGGAAACTGCTGGTTGAAAAACACAGCCATCTCATGAATAGAAGCTCTCCTTTGTGGATTCCAATTGCATAACTCAGAAAGATCAGTCCACACCTTCCAAGAATAATTACAACAGCAGAATATATGATCACTAGTTACTTCATTTCTCAAGCAGAGTGCACATCTTGAAGCCAGAGATATCCCTTTACTTTGCAGACAAGAACTTGTGAGGATAGCATTTGCAGTGTCAAAACAGCATGGATAGACCAGCTAGGCATACCACCATTCCAGCATAAACTAGACCAAAAGACATCTTGTTCTTTTGTTCTGCAAGCCTCCCAAGCATTTTTGAAAGTGAAGACTGGAAGAATTCCATTGTAACTGGTTAACGCCCCCATATATCTTATAGCCCTTAAGAATTGTAGAACCTCTTGGCTACATTCAGAAAATTTTGAATCATCGCAATGTTGATCTGCAATGAAATCACCCAATGATACCATTCTATTTCTACTTAGATTTCTTAAACTTCTAAACTGAAAAACCTTAGTCAAACTGCACGTATCATATTCTTTTTTACTAAAGAGTGTGGGAATAATTACTTATCTAGATCTGAATTCAGGACCTTTGTAATCAAATTTTTGCAATCATGTTAGAGAACCATTTGTTCCTAAAGTTGTGCTTTTAAGAAATGTCTTTTTTTTTTTTTTTTTCATCGTATGTCAATCGTTAATTCAATTTTATCTTCCTTTTTCTGAACATGTTAAAATCAAATTGGTTTTAGTTTATTACTCTCCCTAGCTGTCAGACTCTTTGAGTTAGTGGACATTGGATCCAGCTGCTGAAAAGCTTGGGGAGGATATAGTAGAATCAGAAACCACAAAGATGATGTAGAGGCCTGGTACCATATGGAAGGAGCTGCTATTCGTTCCATATGGATAGAGAGAAACAATTGTCTATTCTGTAACTCTTATCTGGGTGTTGTGCCTTTTAGTAACTCTAGTATTGATGCTTTAGACTTTTCTCTTTCAAAAATGTTGTTGTTTCTCTACCTTATATGGATCCAATGGGATTAGAAACTTCCTGATAGTTTCTTTGATTCTTGACCTTTGTACATATGGAGGTATGCCTTCCTTTATACCTGTACGTTTCTTTTGGTTTAATTTACATACTTATTAAGGGATGATGTGTTCACTGTATCTTTTACCTTTCCCCTTAGTCGCCGGAGTCTTCCACTCTGGTTACCTTTTCTGATCAACCTTTTTTTTTTTCCTCTTGCCTTTTTCTTATGAAATCGTTCCTGGAAGTTGCAAGGTTGCCTCAAATCTTTCAGGGGGGTACCGTCAAGATTGCTAAACCTCATAGAGGTCCTATTTATCTGGACGATGATCCCATTGAGAGATGCAGGGATGACCTTAGTGTTGACTTTAAGAGAGAATCAAAACAAGAGTAAAGTACAAGAATATGAAGGAGAGAAAAAGAGAGGGAGATGGGGAAAGAAAGAGAGAATGAAAGAATACTTTTGTCCTTCCGCCACATTCTATTTATAGTAACAAGTTTTAGAAATTAAACATAAGCACCCAACATTATGTAAGTAATAACAAATAAGCCCCCTACAACACTCCCCTCAAGATGGTGCAAAGATATCTATCATGCCCTTAGTCAAAACATCGAAGCTTTTCCTTGATGAAGTGTCGATCAACTTCAATGTGCTTTGTCATGTCATGTTGAACTGGATTGTGGGTAATGCTAATAGCAGCCTTGTTGTCACAATACAACTTCATTGACTCGCGAACAGGATAACCCAATTCATCCAACATTGTTCATAGCTATAACAACTAACAAACTCCATGTGCCATGGATAAGATTTCAGCCTCTGCACTAGATCTAGCTACTGCAGACTATTTTTTGCTTCGCCATGAAACAAGATTACCTCCGACAAATGTGCAATATCCTGAAGTAGATCGTCGATCTATCACAGATCCAGTCCAATCAACATAAGTATAGGCTTCAACATGCAAGTGGCCATGACGGAACAATATCCCTGTACCAGGTGAACCCTTGAGGTAGCGAAGAAGAACATGATGAGCTGCCTCAAGATGAGGTGTACATGGAGGATGCATAAAACAACTAATCACACTAACAACGTAGGCAATATTTGGGTGAGTGATATGTAAATCAGTTTCCCAACCAATCGCTCAAATCTTCCCACATCATTTAATGGGTCTCCATCCACATCATAAGCCTTTGGTTATGTTTAATGGGAATATCAATAGGTTTAGCTCCAAGCCTGCTGGTTTCAGCCAACAAATCTAATACATAATTTCGTTTAGAAATGAACACCTCTTTGTTGGACCAGCACACCTCGATGCCAAGAAAGTATCTCAATGATCCGAGGTCTTAAACCTCGAACTCTGTCCCCAAGAATGACTTCATTCGATGAATCTCTTCTGGATCATTTCCAGTGGTAACAATATCAACATATACAATAAGAGCAGTGGTGCAGCCCTATTGCTTCTTGATGAAGAGAGTGTGATCTGTCTGACTCTGTGTACCCTACTCTTTTCATAGCAATGTTGAACCTCTCAAACCAAGCACGCGGCAACTGCTTTAACCCATACAAGGCTTAATTAGTTTGCACAGTAGATTATGATCATCGGCAAGCTTAGACCCTGGTGGCATAGTTATATACACCTCTTCCTCCAAGTCAT